GCCACCATCTGGGGCTGCAGATAATGCCACCGCAGGTCACCGGGGAGTGTCAGTCGTGACCCCACCCTTCCCCCCACCCCTCACCTCACCTTCCCACACAGCCGGGACACCTGGGCCCTCTCTCTGGACCTGCCTGGCCTCCAAGCCAGGGCTCCCTGCCACTTCCCGTCCTGGAAGAGGACCAGTCACATGACACGGAGGGGAAGGGGCGGCCAGGCTAGGCCAGGGGCCAGCCTGCCAGAGCTGGCCACAAAGTCAGCTCTCCAGCCCTATCCCCTTCCCAGGAACCCTCCAACTGGGTCACCCACACAAGCCCTAAAGGGCCAGAGGAATGTAGACACCTAGGGAGGGGTCATGAACAAGGCCATGAGGAAGCAATGACCAAGCTGGACACGGCAGGGATGAGAGAAAGGGAGGACAAGCCTCTGACCCCTCCAGGGGCCGATCCACTCCCTGAAGTCCTGGCAGCAGCGAGGGCCAGAGGGAAGAGCTATGGAGAAAAATGGCTGCTCTGTGAACCAGGGGATGGGGGCTCTGCTGAGAAGCCAGGGCCACGTCCCTGCTGACACGGGTGTGTGCTGCCAGCAGCTCCTGACCAGCCTCAGGGCCGGTCTCCAAGGGTGAAGGCCATGCACAGACCAGACCCATCTCTATTCACTGCCGACGCCTCAGAGCGCTGCTATTTCCCACTTATAGGTGTGAGACAGAGATCTGAGTCTCGTTTAGTGTCACACAAACAATAGAAAGCAGGATGGTGGGACTGAAGTGACGACTGTTTTTGTTTTTAAAGGGAAATCACTTAAGCAGAGCCTCAAAGACGGATGACTGGATCTGGAAGGGACAGATGTGGCCAAGTGGTCACCAAGGCAGAGCTGTGAGCCCACCTGGCCCTCTGTTGCACCCCTACTGTCCTCCAGTCACCCCCTTTCCTAGGACAGAGGCTGGGTGGGCACCTCCATGACAGCTGAGGACCGTTAGGGTGTTTCAGCAACTCAGCCCCCAGTAGGACCACTCTGGTCTGAAAGCCAGCTGGAGAATTTTAAACAATGGCAAGGGGTGTGGGTAGAGGGGGAGGCTTATGAATTAAAAATAGATGCTAGTAATCGCCAGGGAGTTTGCTGAGAGCATGTGGGGCTGTGTTTACTAGAGAGAGAAGAATACCTTCTATTCACGCCCTGAGACTTGGGTGGAACCATGGCAGCTTCTCCACCAACCAATGGCGTCTGGGCCTGCCGGCAGTCAGCTGACCCAGGGCTCCAGATGGCTACAAGGCCCCCTTCCATAGGACACTGAAGGACTCCCTCTCCTCAGGATCCCTGAAGCCATACCCATCCCCGGAGGGACAGCTCCAAGTTCAGAAAACTGTTTAGCTGAAGGAGAAACGGTAAAAGATAAAGCCAGTATCCGGCCATAATGGCCGAGGCAAGCCTGCTCCCTATGAGCCCAGCATATAAAGGGCCCTAGCAGGCTCCGTGCCTCCAGATCTCAGCTGGGCCTTGCAGACATGGTGGAAACAGGATCTAGTCTTCTCTCTACCACCAACTTGCTGGGTGCTCTTGGGCAAGTTGCCTCTAGATTGCTCCAGACCTCAGTCTATTCATCTGTGAACTGTAGGTAACATCTGCTTTGGCAACTTCACAGAGATGTTATGAAGGTGGACAGGTAACATGTATGACAGGCTTGGGGAAGCTGCAAGCTCTAAAGCAGTCGTAGAACAATCATTTCTTCTATTAGGTCCTGAACCTGGGGAACCAGCCCCACAGTCAGTTCACCCAAGGGTCTCAGGTCTAGTCTTCTACCAGCAGCAAGGAGAGAACCTCCCTGCCCCCTGGACATCGTGGAGGCACTGTGAAGGCCAGACACAAGCCACATGGAGAAGCCCTGACAGGCTCCACCCGTTGTGCCTGCCCCTGTCCCCCAGGCCCCTTGTCCCACTTAGCAAACATCAGCAATGCTTTCCCTGTTTCTGGGGGTCAACTGACCTTCTCTCAGGCAGCAGGAGAGAAGGCTCACGTCTCCCTCTTCCTAAAATAGCTGTAGTGTCAGAGCCCCTTCCTTGACAGGACTGTTCTGATTTGAATTTTGCATAGAGCTGGGCCTGGGTGCTTGCTCATTTAAGATGTTCATTCCAAAGGACCTCTGGGTTGAGATTCAGAGTCCACGCTGCCTTTTTAGCCAATGCATCCAGAACTTCCTCTCAGAACTGTCCTCTCCCCAGCTGGGGCTATGCTGGCAAGCAGCCCATCGCCAGCGTCCCAAGTACTATCCACACGCTGACAACTCCTGAATAAATGTGTGGCTCTCCCATGGGACTCCAGACTCAGCATCTGAGTGCTGCTGTGGCATCTCCACGTGGGTGTTAAATGGCCATCTCAGATGTGAGTGTCCAGGCCACAGCCCTAGCCTAGTTCACAGCGCCCCCCACCCCAGATGTCTGTTCCATTGGCCGTCTTCCCTAGCCCAGTTAATGCCAATTTCTGTTTTCCAGCTGCCAGGTCAAAAATCTGGGGCCATTCTGCCTGCTCCCACATCCAACAGAAACCTTTGTAGCTTGATAGCTGAGGCAAATCCAGAATCTGGTCTCTTCTCAACACTCCCCACCTCCATGGGGCTGCAGGTCACCAGCCCCCACCCTGGCTCTCCCAACAGCTCCCTCCTGGCCCTGCTCACACTCGGCTCACAGCCTCTTCCCCACCCAGAAGCCAGGGGGATCTATATAAAAAGCTTCACTCATCTGTACAAATCTGCCAATGACTTTTCACCCCACTTGAAAAGAAAATCAAGAGCCCTTCTCCGGACCTATTAGACCCTTTTTTTTTTTTTTTAATAGAGGCATGTTTTATTTTATTTTATTTACTTGTTTGTTTGTTTTTTGTTTGTTTATACATGCACTGGGTACAGTCAGAAGCGCAGGAGGGTGAGAGAATTCACCAGAGCCAGAGCGGGGAGCAGAGCAGGCAGAAGGACCAAAGTACACTGCTGAGGGGAGTAGCGGGCGGCAGGAGAGGTCTGCGCGCCATGTGGGACCCGCCTCCGGTAGCCGGGGAGCAGTCGGGGATCGAACAGGCGCTGCAGAGGCCGCGGGCATCTTCGCAACCCAGCGCTCAACCGCTGCATCACCGGGGAGGCCCCCATTTTTTTTTTTTTAAAGAGATTTATTTATACATACAAGAGCTGGTGTGTAGACCAGAGGTGCAGTGCGGGGAGAGGATTCACCAGAGACAGAGTGGGGAGCAGAATAGCCAGATCCACTGAAATACACTGCTGAGGGGAGCAGCGGGTGAGACAGGAGAGGTCTGCTGTGCCACATGGGTCAGCTCATTGGCCGGACATTGAACTCATGCCACAGTGGCTGGCGAGAGTTTCATAGTACTGAGACTTAACCACCAGAGAGGCCCTAGACCCATGTTTAAAAGAACAACAAAAACCAGAATACCTCAACCCCAAACCCAAAATTCATGGTCCCCAAACCCAAAATTCATGGTCCCCTTCCTCACACAAACTCATACCGCCACTGCCCCGGTCGCCCCTGTTCTCACTCCACTGGGACTGGTTTCTTGCTGGCATGCACACCCCAATCCAGGCGCAGTCTGTGCCACCACTGTCGAGACCACCTCTCTCTGCAGGTTCTTACTCCTGCATAGTGGGCTGCTCTGTCCATCGCATGTCCATCTGTCCTTGGCCTCCTCACTCCACACATGTCCTTTGAGGGTCTCACTGGCACATGTGGCTTCAAACTCAATGTGACTCCCTGAGCGCTGGCCCCTGCCCAGACCTCTCCCCAGGATGAGCCCCTCAAGCTGGACAGCTCCCAGAGGCACTTGCGGTTCTCATGTCCCAGACTGGACACTTCACTTTTCTCCTCAAACATGCTCTGTCCACCTCCGTTCACCTCTCTACTCCCTCTCGAGTAGAGAGCACCCTACCCTACTGTTGCTAAGCCAGGAACCTGTTGTCCCTGCTCCTCATCCACACTCTCACCCAGCAACTTCCCAGTGTCCTCTGCACCCGTCTCTCCCTAACCATCCTCACTGCTGCCACTTAACTCCTGTATTATCTCCAGAAATGGCTTCCTAGCCCCTTCCCAATCTATTGTCTACACGGAGGCCCAAAGAGACCTCCTCTCGCCAGTTTCCTAACACTGTTTAATGGCTTCACACTACCCTGTGGCTGTCCTGGGCCGACCTGTCAGTCCCCAAAAGTGCTGGACACTTCATCTGCAATGAGCCCCTCGTAGCCCCTACACCCTCCCTCTGCCTGCCCCTCCCCAACCCTCCCCTGGCTAAACTACACTCCATCCTCAAGACTCAGCTCCTGTCTCCCTGGAAGCTCTGCCATGGCCTTGCAGCCCTATTCACTGTCTGTCTCCCTCTGTGAGGACAGCCCCTCCACTTGCTCATCCTGATGGCACCTGAGAATTCAAGATGGACTGTGCCTGTGCCATGACTAAGGGCTGAGTGCAGAAAGCCAGAAAGCACCAAACCAGATGTTCCCCTTCACCAAACGCCCATCAGGTACCTCCCGGTTGCCTTTGGTGGGTGATGATGCCAGAGGACACTGCCCAACTCCATTCCATGAACTCATTTACTCCTAAATGACTCTAGTACTGCAGTCCCCATTATCAAGTGGGGAAAGTGAGGACAAAGAGGATAATGACAGATAAGGCCAGACAGAGGCAGAAGCAGGGTCTGACCAGTCTGTGCCTTTAACCAGTGTACTCACTGCCCTGATAGCACATTTCAGGAAAACAAGCCAAGATTAACACCAACCTGAGCAAAACACGATTTTAAAAAGCAGATCCCTAGACAAATAGAAGCCAGGCTCATGGGCACCACCTCTTGATTGGGTCTACCTCTGACTCCCTCAACCAGGCGGGTGCCAGGGCATTGGAACCCACTAGGCAGGGACCCAGCCTAGGTCCCCAGGCGAAGAGGCCCCTCAACAGATGGCCCTTGACTCGCCAAGCCCCAACCCCAGAGCTGTCCTCCTGGCCCCCTTACCTTGTCACCAATGCCCTCGGCTTCCTCTGCCAACAGGTACACGTTGCCGCCGTCAGCCAGCAGCAGGGCTGTGTCGGTGGTGGAAGAGGAGCGCGGGCGGCACTGGTGCTGGTGCAGAATGGCGGCCAGGCTGCTGTCCTGGGGGGCCTTGCGGAGTAGGTGGGGGCTGCCACGCTGGGGCTCCAGGGAGCTGCTCTTGGTGCGCCGGCTGCTGCCCCCGCTGCTGCCGCCCCCGCTGCTGTGCAGGCTGGCACCCCGCTTGATGGAGGGCCGGGAGCGGATCTGCTGCAGCACACGGTTGAAGGCAGTGGGCCTTGCGGGCAGGTCGTGCAGGGACACGGCGTAGGAGACGCGGTGCATCTCCGGGGAGCGCTCCTTCTCGTCCGCAGAGTCGTGGTCCGACATGCCCTGCTGATGGGGCTGCTGGGAATCCTGAGTCGCCTGGTGCTCCCGCTCCCGAGACCGGCGGCGGCTGTGGAACAGGTGCTTCAGGCCGTGGCCAAACATGGAGCCCTCTGACAGCTGCTGAATTTTCTTAAAGGGGAAAGAAAAAGAGCCCTGGTCAGCGGACGGTTCTGGAAGGATGAGTTGGTTGGGGGCAGAGGTGAGCAGTCTGTGCCTGAGACCAGTGCAAGGAGTCCAGTCCTCAGAATTTGGAAGACCCCAGCAATGGCCACTCACAATGAAAGGTCACCCTGCAGAAAGGGGGCCACTCAGACCCACTTTCATCCCCAAAGAAATGCAGCCACATGGTTCCCTACAGTATGTGGGTTCGGGGTCACCCATCATGACATCCCTGTAGCTCTGGCCTGGGGCTCATCATCTTACACAGGTAGCACCAGCCACAGGGCTGTGCCTCCTGGACTGATTTAGCCTAGTCATTCCTCTGTCTCTGTTAGGCCCTCCTGCAGGCCTCATGGGCTCCTATCGATGACCCAGCATCCACGTTCAAAGCTGCCTCCCTGCCATACTCCCCGTACCGTCAGCTTATCCTGTTGTAGCCCACACTGTTAACTGCTTATCTGAGGTCGACTCCCCTTTCTTACCAACCAAACCGCCAGGTCTTAACTTGCTTGCTAAAAATTTCTGCTTCTTCAGACTCCTGTGCAGCTAGTAGTAGACACGTGACACACTTTGGCCAGTGAAAATGCAGGTGAGAGCTTTTAAGAACATTTTTGCTTTCCTGATAAAGGTACAGGCCCTGCCTACTTCTTCTCTTCTGGAATGTGGAGGTAACGCCTGGAGCTGCAGCAGCCACGTTGCAGCGGCGAGGATGACACACAGCTGGTGGACCCTCAAGGGACAAGCTGGGGACCTGATGGTCCCATGGAGCCACCGAACTGTAAATGCCAACCCTGGAATTCTTGCTGCATGAGATAAGTAAACCTCTTTGTCTATACAATGCTAGTACATTTTCCGTTATTTGTACTAATCTCTTCCTGATACAGCTCATAATAAAATAAACTGAACTGGCGTTTCTGGGTTGGTAAACACATCCACAGGCCAGAGGCTGGCCCAGCCCAGTTTCATGGGGACAGAAGCTCCTGCACTGGAGACCCTTCTGGACCTTGTCCCATAAACCTCTTCATCGGCTGTTCATCGGTGTTCCTTCCAAGAGCCTTTACAATAAACTGATAGATGCAAAACAAATAAACTTGCTTCTATGGGCAGATCTTACAATCCAGTCAGTAACGTGACCACTTGTTTGGCATGTCATGATCGCTATCCAAATGAGAGCTTCCCCTCAGGTGGAAATGAATCAAAGAGGCCCCGGAGCCCAGTGCTACCCTGGCCCCAGGATTCCCTCTTGGCTCTCTGCTGAGATTGTCCCCTGCTCCCCAGTCGGGAGCACTCACAGAGGTGGCCGGGCTGCCTGGCAGAGGGATGCTGGTGGTGATCCCAGCAGCTGCCTGTCAGGCTTATCAGGCCAGGCTGAACCCTGGCAGAGGGCAGAGCCAGCAGGAGCCAATGGGGCGTGGAGACCAGGTGAGAACCCACACTTTAAAAAGAGGGAAATTCAGAATCAGCCATTTGGGGCTCTAGGAGCCACTGTCGATCCTCACCTGTGAGAAACAACTGGTAATTTCATACAGCAGCTCAGTCATTTTTTAAGACTTTCCAAAGAATTGCACATATTGGATTTTCCTTTTTTCTAGAAACAAACCTAGAGAGCAGAAAATTTAGTGCAGAAACCAGGAAAAAACCATCTTCAGCTCTTCTGAATTAGCCAACCCCGCTCTCGCCCTGCTCCTCCCCTCCGTGATCTGTCAGCTGCATTAATGTCTGTTTGTCAATAACCACGCGACTGTGTATTGTGTAAAAACTTAGGATTTTCATTTGTCACCCTATTTGCACCTCCCCACAGTCCTCAAAAGAAGCGGGGCCCTGACATCAGAGAAGGCACATCACCACCACTCACCATGAACTAGAGGCCTCAAGGTGCTTGTTTCTTCCGTGTTACCTCACTTGATTTTCCCAGCTCTCACAGCAACATCTCCATCTTTAGATGAGGAAGTTAGGCCTACCAGCATGCCTTCTCAAGAACTAAATTCTGGGGCATCCCTGGAGATGCAAGGTCACATAGGGTTGGGTATCCCCCTGGGAGTTACCTGTCCCTGGAGGCTGGCCTGAGGTGGCCAGGAGGCCCATCCAATCTGCTCAGGCCAGAACCAAGATGTCCCCTCCAGTCTGGGGACCAGCCGGGACGCCTTCCTCCTCTTGAGACCCAAGCTAATCCAGACCTCCCTCCAGGCACTTTGGATGGGGCCAGCTGGCTCCAGAACTTACCCAGCTGCGTCTGCCAAATGGTCACATTATAGATTATAAATTGTCTTTCTAGCATTTGATTCCAGGTTTCTTTTTCCTCCCCCCAGCACTCCTCACCTGGCTTCTCCAACACAGGTGGTCCTTTTCTCTATCAACTCAGGTAGAGGCACCCTTCAAAAGACTACCCCTGAGGTCCTGCAGCCCTGAGGCATTTCGTGCCCCTCAGCCCCCAGGAAACCTGCAGGGCTGGGAGGTGCTGGAGACATCAGTGACCCCACTTTGCTGTATAGTTATGGACCCTAAAATCCCTGATCAGTTCATGTCTGATATTGCACAAGAGCATTTTCCAAGGTGCTTTCCATGCCTTCATTCTAGCCTGACATCAGCCTAGCCTCAGGAGGGAGGGCATGACGGACACAGGGTCACTTTGCAGATGAACAAACTGAGGCTGAGCACAGCTGAGTGGTGCTCCAAGACTAACGCAGATAACAGTATTCCCATGTGTCTGAGGAGTGTCAAGGACGGGATCAAAACAAAGAAGCCAGAGCCCGGGGAATTAGGTCTCTGAGGCGTGATGGGTCTGCCCATGTCACATGACAGGACTTTCACCACTGTCGCCTTCATTTCCTACCTCCCTTTCTCTTCTGCAGTTGAAAGAAAGCAAAGGGTGACCACAGGACCTTTGCTCCAGCAGATCGAGGAGTCACAAGGGAAAAGAATAAAGTCAAAGAATAATGGAGTGGGGGGTGCTCTGAAGAAGGGTTTTCCTCACTTAACAAGACACAAGGCAAGACAGCAGGGGGGCACACGAGCTGCAGGGCCTGAGTGGGTGTCCAGGAGGAGCTGACTAGGGAGTTTTAACATAACATGGTAAGTGTAAAAAAAAAAAAAAAAGAACCTCAGCACACACACACATAACCAGCCACAAGTTTTGGAAATGAGGAAAACCATGGTGACTAGCTGGAGGGAACTTAGCCACCAACGCAGCAGAAAGCACCACCTGCTCTGACTAACAGGTTCCAGCTACTAAATGTCACTTGCCTCTCACTAAATGTGACTTTTGCTTTCCCCCAGCTGCTAGAAACCATTTTGGTGGCCAAATGAAGCCACATATTAGGAAAAGAGAGCTGAGATGTTCAGAGTTAGAGCTGGGACACCAACAGCTCTCATTGATGCATGAGAATGAGCAAGCGCTGGGAGAGTAACGGTCTGGGCTTCTGGGCTCAGGTGCCACTACCTGGCCAGGTAAACAGGGGAAGGTGGCCACTTCCTCCCCCACAACTATCTTTAAGGGCAGCTGAGTGGGTGCCATCATCCTCTCAGGAAGAAAGGGTGGACTATATGGCTCCGAAAGGCTTCCTGAGAAAGCTGCGGTCTCCAAAGAGCAGGCTTCATCCATTTTCTTCCCTGGGTGTGGGCCCCCCAAAGGGGAAGTTTGCTCCCAAATTTGCAGACACAGCTTCATGAGGTCAAAAGTAAAATGCTTCAGGGTACAGCGTCTTTGGCACCATCTGGTTAAAAATAGCCAAAAGCAGCTAATTCCTCCAGGTCCCTATGTTCTTAACAACTCCCAGAAAAGCTGAAAGGATTTTAAAAAGTCACACTAACCTATGGCTAATTATCCCACTTGGCAGCTGACCGCAGACCCCTTCCTCCCACCAGGGTCTGGAACTCCCTTTGCCCCACCAACAGTTCAGCTGGGAGGGTTCAGGGGGGTGACTGGGTCACAGTGAGCCTTAGCAAGCCTAGGTCGCCAACGTTCCTCTATTTATAGGGTCTCTATGGAAACAGGGCCAGCATCAGAGCGCTAATCACTGTCGAAACCCACAGAGTCCTACTCTGGGACACAAAATGGATGTGGAAGTCTCCAGTTGCCCTTCAGAAGCCTTGGGTGGAGGACCTGGGGGAGGAGCAGGAAAGGAACCGTTACCCCAGGTTTGACCCTGAAACCACAGTGATGGAGAAGGGGGACCAGCTGCAACTTGCAGGCCTGTTGGGGTTTCTATTGCAAACAGTGATGAAAGGTCTTCGGAATCATCTTCTGCTTCCTCAGTATCACAGTTGACATTGAAACAGATCTCAAAACTTAACTCAGGGCCAAAAGATTTTCCTATTCCCAATTTTAACTCCTTGTTCCTTTATTGCTTCGAGAATTCTGTCTGGAGCCAATGCAAGTCAGGAAAGGTGACCCAGTGCATCCAATCTTTAGACAGAACCAACTCAACACACCAGCAGAGATGATCTTTATTAAAGTCCCCTGCAGGCTGCCCTCTGGCCTGCTCTCCTGCTACTCTCACCACCTCCAATCACGGCAGCGTGTGCCCCTCCCTCTGAGCTCCAGACCTTGTCCTCTATACCCCCACCTCGCATGCACCTCCAGGTGCCATAGCTTCAGAACACACTCAAACTTATCCAACTTTTCACCTGCTTATGGACAAGCCCTGCAGGGAACACGAGGAAGTGGAGGGCGGGAGCTGCGTGGCTTCTTTCTTTGCATCTCCTACATCACCTGGCAGCGACCCCACGACCACCAACACTGTGCTACGTGGAAACGGTACGAGTCTACAGAACCTCCAAACCGATGGCTTAATCCACAGACAACTCCCCTTTCCAAAGCCTCAATGTTTTGCAAAGATTTCAAATGCTCAGTCAGGCAGCTTTTTCTTGTGTCTAACTCAGCTCCCTCCTGCTGCAGTTTAAACCCTCCTCTCAGTCTATCATCTTTGTGATGCCAAGACTCCGCTGACTTGGAAGGAGAGAAGCACAGACCCAGAAGCCCAAATGGACTTCCTGTCTTTATGAATGGCTTAAGTGGGGGCTCGTGTCCTTACGGCAGCTTTGTTTTCCAGAGTAGATATCACACAGTTAAGTTGGCTGCAGTGAGAAAGGCCTTAGCCATTTAGTTTAAAAAGTCAATGTTTTTCTAACACAATCACAAATATCCGCTGACCCTCAACAGCTTTGTTCTAACTTCCTAACAGGGAGAGAAGCTTGTGTCTGGTTGATGCGGGTAGTCCCAGTGCAGTCTGGCTCTCAGCCAAGAACAACCTAGTCTATGAGGATTTCAAAGGGAGAGGCCATTTCTTGGAGGAAAGATGAGTTTTGAGTTGGCCTCTACACCCACCACTAAGTAACCTGAGTCTTTTTCCCCAGCCCCTGACACCCACACTTCTTTTAAACTTCAGCCACAAATAATGCAGGTGCTATGGGATGTTTCAATTCCTTGTTGGGGGAGAGATTCTTGTTAATGGGACTAGCAGTTGAGATACACACAAAAGCACTCTAAGCACTAAGCCTGGGAGACCTCTCCCACAACAGCTGGGACTCCATCTAGAACCCAATATGTGTTAAGAGAACTGAGAGCTTCGTTTGCCACACGCTTTCCCATCATCAGTCACCAATTCTCTTTTTTAAGATTTATTTTTATTAATTATGCATACAAGAGCTGGGGTGCAGGCCAGGGGTGCAGGGGGTGAAAAGACTCACCAGAGAGAGTGGGGAGCAGAACAGGCGGATCTGCTGAAATACACTGCTGAGGGGAGCAGTGGGCAAGATAGGCCTGCTGTGCCATGTGGGTCAGCTCCCTGGCTGGGGGATCCAACTCAGGCTGCAGTAGCTGGCGATAGCTTGACAGTGCTGAGACTTTAACCCCTGTGCCACCAGGGAGGCCCTTGGTAACCAGTTCTTCACAAACCCACAACAGGGTTGCTCGGCACAGTCCTAAAGTTTAGAGAGGAGGTGGGAGCAGGCCATGCTGGCCTTGGACCCTCTGCCCTCCTCACACTGGGCAGGGAAGACAGAGGAGGCAACCCGTGCTTGCTCCACTGCCCCCACTGCTCCCATGAGGACTATGCACGGGGCTGCCAAGACACCAAATCCCCATCCACAATGCACAGGCCTGATAAGGGGGTGGCATTTGTCATCTCACACCCCATCTGTAAAGTCCTTCTCCCATACAGATGGCCAACGGGCACAGGAGAAAGTCTCACCATCTCTTACACTGGGGAATGCAAACCAGCGCCATGATGAGCTACCACTCATACCTGTAGGAGTGGCCCAGCTCAAAAAGACCAGAAACAAATGCTGGCGAGGATGTGGAGAAAAAGGAGACCTGTTGGTGGGGATGTAGACTGGCCCCTTTGGAAAGCAGCATATGTTGGGTCTTCAAAAATATTAAAAGTAGGGGCCTCCCGGTGGCGCAAAGGGTTACGACACAACTTATGAAGCTATCCGCAGCCACTGCAGCACAAGCACGATCCCCAGCCAGGGAGCTATCCACATGGCACAGCAGACCTCTCCTGTCTCACCCGCTGCTCCTCTCAACAGTGTATTTCAGTCAGTCTGCCTGTTCTGTTCCCTACTCTGTCTCTGGTGAATCCTTTCACCCTCCACACTTCT